TCCTAGACACTAATGCCATGCATGATATCAGAACAGAAAGAACAGATACTTTTGCTTCATCAAATACCTCAATACTTAGTTGATTTTCCTTGGAATCCTGAATCGTGGAAAATATTTAGAAGCTAGGCCAACTCTTTCCAATCTCTCACTTGTAATCCTCAAAGGGAATTTACAAAACACCTTTCCACAGACAGGCCTACGAACTTCATTTCATCAGTCTTCTGGATACAAAAAATAATGGACTAAATATAGACATTGGATTTATGGCACATTATAGCCTGCTTAACTTCTGACTCCCAAAGTACCTCTCCACTATTTACCAGCTATATTTATTCCCCTTCCCTCCCCCTGACCCCAACCTGTCTCTCACCCACTGACTCCTCAACTTACATCTTCAGTGACTAGCTTTCTTGCATGCATACCAGCCTCTGGCTTCTTTATCATTCATTCCATCCAGGAAGAACACACATCAACTGCAGTTGGTGTACTCAGACTGATGAAATGTATGTATACCCAAAAGCTTGCAAAGAAGAATTTTTCCAACTATAGGAGTTGGTTTAATAAAAAATATCAGATTTACCCAAAGAACCTTGTCTAACTCAGGTACTGACACCTGTCAATCATTGCATCAGAGCAGTAGCATTACAGGAGTGGAAGTATCTAAGGAACTCACCTCCATAAGAAGCCACATGAGATCCAGTAATTGTTGGATGAGAGGATGTGCTTCTACTGCCCCACCCTGCTCCAAGATACTCAGCAGGAAGTTCATGAGCACATCTTCCACCAGATACACTTTGCACTGAGAACAAAAAGCATGGTCAGTAGTTCTGGGCAGCACAATCAACGTATGCCAACAGAGGCAGGAGATACCTAATTTAGGACACCAGCAGAGAATTTAGGCTGGAACTGAAAGCTTTAGATCTGCTGTGAGCCGGTGGACAAGAAATAACAGTGAGCTTCCTGGAGACTACCATAGGCTCTTACTGGTGCAGGCTATGAAAACAAGACTAGCAATGACTGCCCATCATGAACAACTGAGCTCATTCCAGGAGTGCCCGAAAGCATTACAATTTCTAAGTAGAACAAAGAAGAACTGGACCACCATTCTACATAAAACCAAGCCCATGAAAAATCCAACTTCAAGATGTGAAACAGTGAAAGTCTCCATAGGAAGGTGTCTTGCCATCAGTTACATGCCAAAATCTCATCCTTGTTGGCAACACTTAGCAATTCAGTTAAGCACTACAGAAGTTCATCCCCTGATGAATGTGAAGTCTTTTCACTCACCTTCTGACACCACTGCATCAACCCTGTTTCATGACAGGTCATTCCATAGGAGCAACCAGTCAAGGACTACTTAAGACTTAAGGACAGCTTGCAATTGTCTAGACCAGGGGTACTCAAACTATAGTCCATAGGCCAAACATGGCCTGAAGAGCCATTGCATCTGGCCCATGGTGCTGCCGATGGATTGGAAAATTTGGCAGCAGGAAAGCAGTGGCCACCCTCCCCTGCTACCTAATTCCCTACACCCCTTCTATTGGCACAGCCAGTTCTGGACCAAGCCGTATCCCCCTCTCTCCACACTGTCAGTTTGGGGCCAGGCCATGCCCCGTTCCCCTTTCTCAGCAAAACTGGGGCCAGATCACACTTACTCCCTGTAGGGCTGAATCAAGGTCAGACCACAACCCCGCGCCCCACAGGGTTGAATCAGGTCTAGGCTTCCCCCTGGACCCCTCCACACAGCTGGATGGGGCCCCACCACACCAACCCTGGGGGCCAGACTAGACCACCAAACACACCTGGCCCATGAACAGACAGGGCACTGCCCATCTGGCTTGCTAAGGAAAAATGTCAAGCACCACTGGCCTAGACAAATAACTCCAAGCTAGTGAATTTATCGGTGTCAAGACATAGCACTTCTCCCAGCTCTGTTACCGGAGAGTGCAGGAGACTTTAGCTCTACCTCTAAGAGCAACTAAAATGGATGCATATGCCAAAATGGCCACACAGAACTCACCATGAGAGGGGCAAAGTGGTTAAAGATGTGTGCAAGGGTAATCAGCACTGTGGGCTCTCCCTGCAGCTGCCATGTCGAAATATCTTTCTCCACCAGCTTCCCCTCCTGCAACAACAAATCCAGGGAGATATAAAGCACTGAACTAACCCCAACCCACCCACAACTCCTTTACCATGTACACCCAAAGGAAAAAGCAGTTCTTTGCTCAGCATGTCTCTTAGGAAAATATCCCACTTTGCAGAGAGGATATTAGCACTGGAAAGAAGCTGCAAGGTGTGAAAGAAGCCTGTTGAGTACATGTATATATTACCCTGCCCCCACCAGGAGCTTTTCAAAACAGGATATTCCCATCTCCGACTCAGGAACACTTCGCCAGTAATCAAAATATACCCACTTCCACTGTGGAGTCACATTTCTCAAACAGCCAGGCCAACCCCACTTTTCCAAGTTAGTCCTGAGCCCATGGTTGATAGCTTAGCAGCACGTGCTTGGGTTAGCTCTAAATCTTCCAATACAGGAGTCAAATTCACCTCTCAAACACAAATCACTTAATAAACCCCTACCCCAAAACGGCCACACTAAGCACATCCCCATGAGTGCACACATGCCGTTTGCGATGCTACAAAGCAGTTTGAAGCACCACAAACTGCACACAGCACACATGCACCCGTTTGCTGCACTGCAAATTAGCAGCACCAAAAAACAGAGGCACACATTTGTGCTGATGCTATTTTTGCCGCAGCAACCACACACCCCTGCATGTGGGGATGTGCCCACTGTCTACATTTAGAACTAGGAACACCTGTTAACTCAGTGGTATATTTAACAAATTTCCTCCAAATACCTTTACCAAGGGATATTGTTCATATATGCTGTAGGAGGATTGCTGAGGTCCTGATGCCAGATTAATAGCACTGGATGAAATTTCCCAGGACAGAGATGCTGCAGGGAGCACTAAAGCAACTCAACCCAGCAACATGATGCCATCCAAAGGTACTACTTTTCATAGCTGGGTAGAAGGCCCATTGTTGGTGCATCCTCTACTTCATTCAACATTACATATCTCTGGAAAAGGTAGGGGGCAGGGATAAACACAGGAACAATGGACAATAAAAGGGTTTCTTGGGCCCAAGGGTCCACTCCCTATTATTCTCAAGCACTTCTTAACCAAAGAAATCCCTCAAATCACCACAAGGAACATATCCAAAACACCCTATAAAAGTGCCATAGACAAAATCAAGGGTGACAAGGTCAATGCTAAACTAGCAAATAGCAGACAACAGTGGTGTCAGATACACACAGGTTCCATGGGTGCTTAGGAGAACTGGGCAAATGTGAATAAACTATTATGACTGAAAACATTTGAAAGAAAATCTAAACACAATATATATATATATATTTCAACCTTTTTCTATTAAAAGTTTCAGTTTAGGTTTAATAAAATGTTATAATCCACCCAAAATAAAGGGTTCTTTTCTGTTTTTTACCAAGAAAATAATTTCCATTTTGGGTAAACCCCACCCCCCCAAGATTTTTATTGTTTACGCAACAAACCAGAGTTCATCCTATTCTAGCACTAGATAAAAATCTGGGGGAACGTAGGGAGGTCAAACTCACTTACAGTGGATAAACTTGGCATCCAAGAGAAATCCAGGCTGTTGCCTTGATAAATCTAAGTCAGTCCCAGAACAGTGCCTGCTCAGACCAATCTCTAGAGACTCTGAAGTTACAGAACAATGGCTGTTTTCTGCTTCCTCTCCTGACTGATCCTGGAGAATGCAGGCTCTTTTCACAATTTGTCCAGTGTGGGGCAAACTAATGCCAAGATGGGTATGTCAGAAACTGGCCTAGTGGAGCTGGATTAAGGGACTCAGTGAAAAGCTGAAGATACAAAAAGTGCTTATCCTGTAGCTGCAAATATAACTTGTATGGTTTTAGCCATATGAGAAAAATTAACGCCAGTCCTGTTGGTTGATAACATGGATGATACTTTCCAGTTTAGAAAAGTGTAATGCAAACAATTTCTCATAACCCGAGATAGAATAATTAGAAGTCCCTCCCTCCACCTTAGCAAGCTAATCCTCCTCCGAGTTTAAGAGCTTTAAAATTGGCAGACTCACAGAAGACAGAAAATGTGTTGGGAGCACTTAAAATTACTGTCAGGCTATATTTCCCAGCATCATTGCCTCACAATCCCATCCAATGACACCAGCTTACCGCCACATCTATCCCAAAGCGAATAACGTTCTTCAGGTAGCCCAACAGCTTGTGCGCCTTTACCAGGTCTGTGCAAGGCGGGTCCTGTAGGGGGCGATAACTCTCCACTGGATAAGTGCTAGAGCATTAAGGAAAGTTCACCTGCCAGAATGCAACTTGTTCCTTAGAAAAACCACTTCAGGAGCTCTGCCCCATCTACTATGCAGGATGACTGCCATGTAAGTACTGCTTTATATATTCCACGTGCTCTCTAGTCATGTCTTAGACAGCACCTTGTCCGCAAGTACATTTTAAGCAAAGAACAGACATGCCAAGAGACTCCTAAGAAAAAACAAACTGCCAGCCCTCAGCTGCCATTCATAACCCTCCTGCAAAGGTGCAGACAGCAACACTCCTCCTATGTCCACAGGATGCATTAAAGCACCCACAGCCTGGACTGAAGGACTATGATCTTGGCTGATGTGCAGTTCTAAACTTTGATACAGAAGGCACTGGAAGGATTCAGGCAACCCAGAATAGCCAGCTGCAGAACTAGCTACTAGCAGGCTCTGCACATTTAAGCAGAACACAACCCATAATGGATAGTCTTTACCAGGAAGAGCTGATTTGGCATGCATGCCTTTTGTATTGCCACTCCCCCTCAACTTCCAGCCAAAGGGATGATTAACAGCGCCCTATTCCCTTCCTGCCCAATTGCATACCAAGTGGAATGAGCAAAAGGCAGGTCTCATCAACTATGTAGTTGGGCCTGCACATGCAGCAGCACTCATCCAGAGCTGTGCAGGTGTTGGCTCTTCTTGGGACCCCCAGCTCACTTCCAAAGGATATCGGAGTGGACGGCTGCCAAAGTTAAAAGCAACAGATTCCTTGAATGAGAGGCTGATTGCAGGGAAGTAAGCCATACCAGCTCCTCTGGTGATGTTATCAAAAGCTGTCCCCAGAGATGTACCATTCCTGAAAGAAGAGGAAACAGTCCCTGAGGTTCAGCAAGCATGAAGGAGGTTTTGGTATTCAGCAGAACAAGCCATCCACCTCACAGAGAATATATCTGGAGGAGACAACAGACCAGAGGTTTTTCTTCTCTACTCATACAATGAGATAGAAATGTACAATAGCAGATTCTGAAATAATGAAATACAAATCAGAAGCCAAGTGCTGCATCTTCATGGAATTAATCCCCAGTCGCAGATTTGCATTCCAGAATCTAAGCCACCAGCCCTTTTAGCACCAATCCTGAAAATAATAAGTGAGGCTGAAGTAATAATGGTATTTTTCCACGTCTGCTCATCCCAAAACAGGCACCCAGAGCTATGAAGCATCCCATTCATCTCAATCACGCCCCATGGGCTCAGATTCCTCACCAAGGGCATGGAATTCCTCAGATTCCTAGAAGTCAAAACTTTGCCTTTTCACACACTTGACTGTGCTGGAGTTTATGCAGCTCAATACTGGGATGGAACAAAAATCCATTCACCATCAAGGGAAACTTATAGCCTTGAGAATTTAACAAATTCCCTGTTAGGGGAAAGCTTCAAAGGCAGATGTCCTCTTGTGACTGTATAAACTGAACCCCAGAGCTGTGTTAAACTATCTTCAGTTTAGAGTTAACTTCAGAAGTTAACATCATATTCCAAGACGACAATTTTTCCTCCCATTAAGTTGGAACTGAGCATGAGGCAGCAGTGAGGGGTGTGGCAAGCACCTACAGTGGCTCCATCCTCCCACCACCTTGGGTCCATTCCACTGCTGCCTTTCCCCCTCAATCCTCTGCCTCTCCTTCCCACCACTTCACCTCCTTGGGACCCAGCCCTCCTGCTGCCTCAGGCAAAGCTGAGGCCAGGCTCTGGGTGTTGTGTCAAGGGCCAGAGCAGACAAAGGAGCACAGAGTGGGGGCAGGAAGCCTGAGAGTGCAGAGAGCCAGTAGAAGGAAGGAGGTGGGGGGGGGGGTGCGTGCATGCGTGCGTGCGTTGGGGGGGGAAACAAGTGGCAGGCACAAGCTGCTTCCCCCTCCCCCACACTGCTCTCCCCACTGCCTGCCTAATTCTACCCCCTCTCCCTGTTCGCCACTTCAGTGGGAAAAGCAGTGGCAGGGGACGGGAATGAATTTAAGATAATCCTCCAATAATTAGATTCTATACATGGAAATAATAACAAGTTTATACATTTTCCAAGTACAGAATCTAATTATTGGGGGTTGCCTTAAATTCAGAGTTGTGTTTGATTCATTTAAATATGGTAATAAGATATTTGGTGGTATTTTCGACCTAGGTTAACTGGCTTAGAACCTAGGTTAACTGTCAGTGCTGCTTTCACCCAGACTGACAACCTACTCACTCAATAGTGAGGACATGGCTGGAGGACCAGCAACATTAATGCCTTCCAACAGTTCTCTGTCTGGAGAGGGTGTGCTCACTCCAAAGTTAAGAACAATAGTATTTCAAACACCCAAATAACCTTAAGTAGCTCAAACATGTCTTTATGGTGGGGCTGCTAACCCACAGGCTAGGCTTATTTGGGCATTAATCACTCAAAGCTGACTCTTCAGAAGACAAACCATCTCGACTCCAGAACTCTACTGGGAACCTGAAAGAAAGGATAAGCATCATACCAATCTGGCTGCTTGGCAAAAGGCTCAAAAGATTTCTAAGTTGGCAGGAGTAGCTCAGGTCAAGTCTTAACAGTATCTGTTGATCAGAGCAAAAACATTTATCATATTACACAGAATTGGTCAATGCAGCAGAAAGCACGTAAAGATGCTTACAGGCAGAAAGCAATGGTCCCTTCATCCAGGTTAATCAAACAGGTGACAATGTCTCCTGCTGCCCAGGACTGCAGAAAGAGAAGGAGAATTGGTTAGAGAGGCTTCTCCACAAGCTCAGACATCTTACTATGAGATACCCTCAAACCAAAGGAAAGCCCTACTTCCCAGTTTCATTTTGTCAGCCTCTACAAGGGCAGGGGAAGACCTTCTTGTACCAGCTCATACAGCTATGTAATACATTTCTAGGCTGTTACAAGCACACTACTGGCCAGGCTCTTTCTTTCCTCCAACACTAAGAGAAGACCTCTCACCATGGCTGCAGTAAGCCCATGAACCACTCAGAATTAGGCATAAGCGACTAACACTCTTAAAACAAGAACAAAAAAAATAGCCCTCCAACAACAGCCATATTAGGCTGGGAATTTTTGCATCAGGGCTGCTCGATAGCAAGCTGAGTAAGCTGTACATATAGCCCTGCCCAAGCACTGAAGTGACCCAACAGAGGCAATGCTCTCCCCAAGAGCTCGAGTCAGTGCCAAAATCCTGCCTCCCCAAGATCACATCTGGGGTTACTGAACTGCAATGTCAGGAAACGATTTTGCCTGATGCACACAAGAACACAGAAAAATGTGGGGAACCATCTGCTTTGAAACACAAGGCTTTCAAAGCCATCCTCTTACTCCACCCTTCCCCAACAGAAATGGGAAAAGTATCTTTTTGTCCAGTTGAAGTCCCAAAGGAGAAGGTGCATGTGTAGTTTGAGAGCAGTACCCCTCTTGCATCTCTATAGCACCAGTGGCCTTCTCTCTGACTT